CATAGGCTCAGAGGGAACTCATGTCACCTCCTCTGCTTCCCTGCCCTGCCCCCACTTTTTTTTTATAAAACATAGAATCAAAAAGCAACCCATTTTATAAATAGGTAAGCTGAGTCACAGAAAGTCAAAATTACTAAGAAAGTATACTAAGTTACAGAAAAGGTAACAATTAAAGGTGTTGTAGTCTATGAGCTCCAAGGTGCTGGAACTAACTCAAAGCGTGCAGACCAGAGACTTATAACCACCCCCAACACAAGTAATTTTAACTGGGCAACTTAAAAAGTTAGGTGTCATTCCTCCTCACCTCCAATTTCTCTATGAAAATGAGACTATTTCATACCTTTTACTTTTTTGAGAAGAAGTTATCAGTTCCTGCTTATGATTTAATAAAATAATTCTAGTAGGAATTTTTCTATTTGGGGGAAGAAAAGAAAACTTTGCCTTTGAAAGGCCTATTAATCAAAGCCAGATAATGTGATTCACTAAAAACATCCACTAAATTAATTCAGCACAACACAAGAAGTTCAAAAATTAGGAGAATAAATTTAATCAGAGCAATCGAGGCAAAGAGCAGTATACATAAAACCTATATACAAACCAACAGCCTATGTCTTCAATCAAGAAGTAATGCCAGTATAAATGCCATTTAAAAGAAACATACATAGACATTATACTATGTCCCCAGGAATGGGAAGAAAATTCTGAAGGAGGTATATGGAGGCCGTCGTGGAAGCAGGAGATCCGTAGGATTCGCACTTGTATTCCTGTCCTTGTGGTTTCCGACGCAAAGAACTACCATGCCCCTTTCAGCTTAACTTTCTCCAGACATTAGAAGTGACACGGCCTGATATCATGGTGCTTGATTTTGTCTGTAGGAATCAATATATCCCAGAACCCTGTTAACAGAAGTAAATCATGTATGTTCCTGACGTGAAGTTGGATTTAAGACAGTGCTGGCCACTAACCTACCAGCATTCTCCCTTTATTTGTGCCTATATATTTGAAAATAAAAGGGGGGGGATCACACCTGAGTTTACTTTTTTAAAACTAAATAACGTAGCCTTGTGGCACTCATATTGTATCTATTACACATTTCACTTCAAAACCTCATCTCCCCTAAACCCTCTTCAATGTGCTTGAAGTAGCACTGCCAAAGGAAAGGAATTTTCTATTTAACTAGAGCACTGACATTCTGTTACACAATTCGATCTTGTCTATTTACCTGCTCTCAAAAACACAAGACACTAAACACAGAATGCTGAATGCATCGCGTCTGCGGTGCCATAGGTGCCTGAATGCATCTGTAGCTTCCCTCTCACTCATCAGTGTAATTGTTGCCATGTTATTCCATTTTTTGATTAGTCTAGTCCCTCAAGCTCAATGCTTTTTTCTGGCCCAACGTTCTTCTGCTGGTTGTCATGGTGACTGAATTGTTAGAGAGGAGAAAGGCTCTGTTGTCTGTCATTGTTCTGTTGTGGTTTAGGTAACGCAGGAGGCAACACAAGTGAAGTGGACCTTTTTTGCTCTGCATCATTTCATAGTATTGAAAAATCTCACATAAAAAAAGGAGCAAATAGGCCCAACCAAAGAAATAACCAAGCTCTTTCTAAAGGAAAGTGCACATTATTATAAAGAGGCAAAAATGGCCCTAATGATGAACTGAGTAATCTATGAAAAATGCTGCTGAATATTACATTTATTACTAGAACAATTGCAGCAACTTAAACATCACATACAATACCTACCATTTTGCAATTTAGAGTAAATATAGTTTTTAACTATACAATTATAGCATCAACTCTTTGATTCTCCAGGCTGTGCTACTTTAACCTTATGTTCTGTTTAACCTAAAGATATGTTAGAAGTTAAGACTGGAGCAAAATTAAGAGTTGGGCAAATTTTCTTTTGCTGGTAAGACCGTGTTAGGGTCAATTTCTACTTTGGAAATATAGAAATGATTTTTTTTTAAGATTAGAGCTGACTACAAAGAAAGACTTCTTATTTTAAATGGTAAAAAAAAATGTTTTTGCAGCTAACCAAAATTAATATAATCCCTCCTCAATTTATTTTTCAATTTTTCTCATTTTTTAAGCTGAAAAATGGAGGGATATATGATAAGTGATGGGATATATCATAGACAAGGACCAAATTAATAATCATTTTTACCAAAATTGCTCTAAATCAACTACCATCATTGTTTTTGTAGACATATACTTACCCTAATCAGCAATTACTTCCATTAGTACTGGTATAATTTTTTCACTGTAAATTTTTTTTGTTTGTTTTGTTTGACTTGCGAATTATTTAATTTAATTTTTATTTAACTATTTCGTTTAATTCTTTTAATGATATATAACTTTAAGTAAGTAACATTTGGTAAGATATGATTTGAAAATAAAAAAAGATGAAAGGTTTACTATTAAAATGTTTCCTTCTCATGCCTGAAATCCATCAGTCTAGTTCTCTCTTACTCCTCCTCATATAACTATTGTAAGGTTCTTTTGTAGTTTTCCAGAGTTTCTTTATGCAAATATTAGAAAATACTAATAGAGATTCTTATTTTACATCTTGCATACACTAATGGTAGCATGTCATTATATTTACACAATTCTGCTGTTTTCACTTAATACAGTATATATCTGGTTGTCATTCCATATCAGATCATAAAAATCTTTCCCCATCTTCCTTTTCTTCTTCTTACAACAGCATAGTATTCTACTGTATAGGTGCACTATAATTTATTTAATTAATTACTATTTATACATATTTGGTTTGTTCCTGAAATTTTGCTTTTATATGAATAACCATGTGCATTTGTTATCTCTTACATGTGCAAATATATGTGAAAGATATAATCCCAGAAGTGAAATTTCTAAGCTAGAGAGTATATTTGCATTTGTAATTTTTGTGAAAATTATTAAATTTCCCTCTGTAGAGGTTATTCCAATTTATAACAGTGTAAAAAAGTATCTGTTTTTCCCCATATCTTGCCAACAAAGAGTAGTATTAAACTCTTGAATTCTGCCAATCTGACAGGTAAAAAATAGTACTTCTCTATAGTTTTAATAAAAGTTTCTGTTATTACTGATGTCAAATAATTCTTCATATGTTGTAAAGCCAATTGTGTTTCTTTTCACATTAATCCTTTCTTTAGATACTTTGTCCCCATTCTTTCGGTATATTGATATTTTTCTTTGTGATTTCTAGGATTCTTTATGTAGTTGTGAAATTTACCCTATGATTGTGTTATGAGTTGCAAATATTTTTTTTCAATTTGTCATCTATCTTTTGATTTTGCATATCTAAAGTTTTTCCATGCAGAAGTTTTGATTTTTATATAGTCATATCAATATTTTATGACTCCTTTCCCCACCCCAAAGCTATAAAGAAATCTTCCCATGCAATTTTATTGGGCTTCCATGGTTTCTTTTCTTTCTTTCTTTTTCTATTACATTTAATATTAATATTTAAACTTTACTTTTGAGTAGGTATGAGATACAGATCCAACTTTAGATTTTTTCAGATGACTATTCAGTTATCTCATCACTAAATATAGAATAATCCATCTTTTTCCACCACTGATTTCTGATGCTCCCTTTGTCAGATAAAAAGTTTATTATGTTTTTGTCCTATTTCCGGACTTCTTATTCTGTTCACTGTCTGTTCATACATGAAGAACTAGTACATTCAACATAATACAAACACAGTGAACAGGAAACTATAAGAACTGTGCAGTCATGTGTCATAACTATGTACCAGCCTACAATGAATAGTATATATGACATAAGATTATAAGAGCCCATAAGATTATAATGGAGCTGAAAATTTCCTGTTGCCTAGTGATGTCATAGCTATCATGATACTGTAGTTTTTGTCATGTTGTAGCTCAATGCATTACCTTTTCTATGTTTAGACATATTTAGATACACAAATACTTTCCATTGTGTTTCAGTTAACTACAATGTTCAGTACAGTAACAAGCTGTACAGGTTTGTAGCCTAGGAGCAATAGGCTGTACAATACAGCCTAGGTGCACAGTAGACTATACCATCTAGGTTTGTGTAAGTGCACCCTATGATATTTGCACGATGATGAAATACCTGATTGCATTTCTCAAAATATATCCATGTTGTTAAGTGATGTGTAACTGTAGTTTATAAATGCTTGATTATATCTGTGTTTTCACACCACAAATATTTTGTCATATTTAGCCATTGCTCACTAGAAGTCACCATTCAAACATATATTCTTTCCCTGATTCCCCCAGGAAGTATATCCATTATATTCAACCAGACATTGATTCTCATTTAATTTCTGAGAAAATGCAGCTGAGACATCATCAATTTTTCAATTAAAACAATAAATTAAAGAATATATGTGGCAGAAGGCTATTTTCTCTTTCTGAATATGCCTTTACGGGTCCAGAGTTGTGGGTGTTCACAAATCTCAAAGCACATTTGTTCAGCCTCTCATAGTGGTTTACAGCAACAGAAATCTGTGAAACACACTGCTCTTGCTTTCTGAGGGTGCTCCACGATGACTTTAAAGCCTAGCCATTAAAGAGCATTTGAAAGGGCACTTACTATTTAGTACCCAGTAAACATATATTTTGATTTTCTTTCATACTGTTTAATGGCATAATATTCAGCAAGGATCTGTGGAAACCAGCTAGCAATCACAACAGACACACTCCAGGGAGGAGGACCAGCACTTCCTCGATTGGGCTTCTCTCCCTCCCCACAGCAGAAGGGCTGCCGCAGACTTCATCACAGTGCCAAATATTCCTGAGCTTGTTGTCTGTTATTGGTTTAATATAGTACGTTCACAGAGATTGAGGTTGATTTTCAGTAAAGGCCTATAAATAATGCTCTTTGGCTGTGATCTGGAAGCTTTTGAGCTCGGTCTCCCTGCTTCCACCGCTCCTTCTGATCAAGCATTTCAACACTGGGGAGAAGATTAATGTCCTCACAACAATAGATGACTTTTGGAGCAGAACCTACCTGATAATCAGAAGTGGCAAATGAAAGAGGGCAGGTGGTGACCTCTCTCAGTGACATGAACAAGAAGAAGCTGGAGGAGCCTTTCCTTTTGCTTAGAAAGTGCCTAAACCACTCATTGCAGGAAGCATTTGGCTACCGATCACTTCTCTGAGACCTGTTATAAAAGGTGAGCAAAACTGAAAGCTCCTTCCCCTCCGTCCCCAATTAGTTCAGATTGCAGTCGACCTTCAAAGATATCCCTTGCAGGGGTGTTTTTCTAGTGATGATGCTGTGAAAATAATTTTCTTTTTTGAAGGGCTTTCTTTCTATTCTCTCCCCATGGCAACTTTTGAAAATTTGTTAAAATGCACACTCTCATACAGCCCTCTCAGGCTATCCACAAGCTCTCTAGGTGAGTGGGAACAAATGGCAGCCTATCAAAGAAGTGTACCCAGGACAACTGCACAGTTGTGATCATTTGGGGATCTTGCGCACTCTCCCTGCTGCCCCCACTGCTCCATTGGGAGTTTTTTCAAAAGGACAAGGTAGGTGCAGACCAAGGTGTATATTTGCAAAAAAGTAGTTTGGTCCACCTGGCTTTTCCAAATTGACCAGAGAGATTTCTTATGATGTCAAGAACTGCATAGAAATGGGAAAAAGAAATCTACGGCATCTGTAGCTTCAGGGTGTCTGTGCACTTGTTATATGACTGAATTAAATAGTTGAGACTAGAAAGTGACAGGAGAGTGACCAGTGGGGGAAAAAAGGGGAATTTGTGAAAATAGATAATAACAAGGGTTCAAGGGATCCATAGCTGATTCAGGACTGTTGGGATACTCTGGTGGCTGTCAGCGCCCAAGTCATGGTAAGGTAAGACTCATTATACCCACAGAAACCTCCCCCAAACAGATGCACATTTAACTGACATGTGGTGAAAGAAATCATGCACACCTCACAGTTTTTGGTAAGTACTTGCCTCATTTCAAGCACCCAAACTTCCACTGATATCCCTTTTCTGGAGACTCTTATTTTAAAATGTTCTTTAAATTAGATATACATAGAGAAGAAAGTAAAAGCTACTGTGCTCTTCCGTGTAGTATAATTTCTGGGAGAGAAAAAAAATGGCTGTTTCTATTTTTTTCTTTTCTGCCTCGATACAAGAGTGTCATGCCGAGAATTATGCTGGGGCTAGGATTTAATGGCCATGCCAGAAATTGGAAGCAGCACCTGTGGACCAGAATTTAAATCTCACGGATGTTTTTTTCTGATGCTTTTATGGAGCATGAATGAGGATGTAATTTAAAAATAAGCCCTGCATCCTATTTAAAAAGATAAGAAGGAGCTGGATGTGTGTAAATGTTTGGATTAAATATGACCAAGGACTGTACCGTATTTAAATGGCTTGGCACTTTGAAAATGATGGAATCAGGCTTCATAATGGTGCAAGCATCTACCTAATGGAACTAAATTTGCAATGTAGGTGCATAGTGGAAAAGCAGGGCAGACAAGTGGCGCTGAGAATCTAAGTGAGACAGCACCAAAGAATGAAACATATTGAGTTTAATGATTGACCTTATCGGGAGCCTTTCTGCTCTGACAATGAGGATGTGAATTATCCTATTATTATAAGCAGGTGGATCATCTTATTAATGCACCCTAGCTTTTCACATTTTTATTTAACTTTAAATTAAATTGAACAATTTCAGGAACAACCTTCCACCCCTTAAAGGAAACAGAAGCTAATGCCCAGCAATATTTTCTGTGTGGCTTTATATATTTTTTTCTTTCCAGAGACACACTTTCAGCTCTGCCAAACTATAATGCTTTGGCTTTCATTTGGATATAGCTGAGGTGTCTTGGAAGTTTCTCTGTAAATTCCTTCAAATCCAGAGGAGCTGAAGGAGATTCTAAGAGGCTGTGCTCCTCTTAATGACTGCACAGGGAACAGTGTCTTTGGCATTCTGATTTGGACACTGTCAGCCACTTGATAGCCCCGGTTATGAGGAGCAGCAGATGAGCCATACTCAAATGTTTTCTGAATTCATCCCCTGTATAACTCTCCCCTTAAACCAAAATTAGCCAGTGAAGGAATATTTACTGGGAAACATTCAGCGTGCACCTGCTTAATACTATAAATGCTACCCCGACTAAGCCTTCTCACACAAAGGAAATATTTCACTGGAAGGTCAGTATCTGCAACTACTGAAAGAAATGGAGCCGTTTCAAACTCACTGACAAAGGCTTCGGTCTCACCCCCATTCTACTCTTTTTTTTTTTTTCTTCTTTTTGGTTTTGTTTCCTTTCAGCATATTTTAGGAACTAATCAGCCTTATAAAAGGTACCACTGTTAATCTACTGTTTGTCTTGGTCTTCATTGCAGCTCCTTAAAAGATAGAGTGCAAACAAAGCGAGAATTAAGGTCATTCCATTTAAATCCTTCAGAGAGGAAGACAAGGACTAAGTTATTGCTGAGCACTACAGAAGAGGAGGGCTGGAGGAATCCAGGATTTAAAAAAAAAAAAAAAGGAAAGAAAGAAACTCTCATTGTTTATTATTTGCTAGCCTCAGAGCAGCCCCCATTCCCATATTTGTGAAGGGATTACCCTCCCATCTTCAGAGATTAATGGGAAGCCCAGACAATTCGCTGGCCCACCGTCCAGCCTGCTCCAAAGAGCATTCTGCAGGAAGGTGGGCTCGGGAGTGCATGCACTCAGGGGACGAAGAGTGTGACACACTCACACCCCACAGCCTGTGATTCATCCTCCAGCTGCTAGAGATGCACAAGCAAACATAACCGCAAAGGGGATTCTGTGCTCGTACACAAGCAAAACTGCACATTAGGAGGTGCTTATGCACATGCAAATCTTAGCATGCTTCAGATTTAAAAGGCGGAGGGGAGCAAAAATGGAAATAATCCATACAAAAGCACTGCAGTGGCATGTAATACTGGCTTCTTTCTCTTTTCTACAATCCTGATTGCAACCCTACTCCTCATATTTTATTTGAGACAGAAGTCAGTAGCAGTATACTGGAATTTCTTTATTTGCTGCTGCCATAGTTGTTCATTAAGCATCACTAAAATATATTAGCCTTAAAAATTAAAAAAATATGATAATAAGTCGATCTAAATGAATGATGCACCATAAAATTTTATGTTTAAAAAAGTAAGATCAGGAAGCAGAAATGGCCATCTATAGCCAACAGAGATGCAGATTCTTGTCTTGATCACTGAATGAGTTATTTTCCATTTCCAGTATTTACCATGTTTAGCACATAACAGATGCATAATATAAATATGTGTTGCATGAAGAAAAGTGTTGGTATTTTAACTGCATTGATAATAATAGCAGTATTATTAATCATTGTTAATGTTTATTGAGCATTTACAATGTGCTATACAGTGTGCTATGCCCTTTACTTACGTTATCTCACTTAATCCTAACATCAACATCATGAAGGTATGATTCCCAGTTTACAGATGAGAAAAACCAAAGCTCACTGAAGTTAAGTAACTCAGCCAAGGTCACATAAGTGATCAGTAGCAAAGCCAGCCCACAGGGCTATCCTGTCTTATCCTGACCCTATGTTCTTAACACTGTACTGCTGCCTCTTCAAAGCAGCATTTCTTAGATGGAGTCAATGTGATTTTATTAGATGAACCAATTATCCTTAGAGAGTAAAGGGTGCCAAGGTATTAAATGAGAAGAGTCTGCCTTCATAGTAGCTTTAAACTTTTTCTTCAATTCACAGAAGAATTTAGCTACTCAAAAAAATACAATGACAACTTGGCTTTATTGAAAATCATATGAACAGATCTCCTGAAAGAAGCAATGCTCCTTCCCTGAGGAATGACTTACGATCTTACCTCCCTCAGCCCTCCACCCCCAACACACACAGTGTTAAGTTTTCCCAGGCAGGATGAGATCTGTTTGCAACACCCTTGGCATATGGTGGGTCTGCCTGGCTTTCCGCAGTGTTTGATTATGATTGGCCTAGTTAATTCATTTCATTGTATGTTCACCCCTCCTTGGAAACCGAACAGGATTAAATTGCATTTTTAAAGCCTTAACAAATCACCGTGTGATTTAAATCAGAATAAAGACAAACATTGAGATCGGGTTTTTTTTTTTGTTTTTTTTTTTTTTTTTAAGGAAATTCTGACAGCATTTCTAACTCAGCAGGAGTGTTTGTCCAGAGACTCTTACATTCTCTCTTAGCCATTGGGATGTTCAGTTGTGAGCATATTGACTACTCAGTAATGAATGTAGGACCCATAATCAAACACTAAACAGAGTGAAAATCATACATGAAATTATTGTTTCATCTTGAATAATCCTAAACCCCCATTTTAGCAAATAGTCCAATTTATTCTCCCTCCAAACTCTATTAGCTTACAAACTAAGCCAAAGTGGAGTAAGTTGTACCCATTTATTTAACAATTGCCCTTTTCTGAGGAAAGTGTTAGAAAGCATTATATTATAGTACCCAAAAGAAAGAAGTGCAACTAGCATTAAAAATTCATAAATAATATAACATATTTCTCAGTCAGTAATAATAAACCAAAATTTCCTGGAACGAAAAGTAAGGGATACTATTATTTTTAGTATATTTTACTGAGCTACGCAATAATTTCTAACATGATTGCTTACCTAGTTTCATCTACACCACAGGTTGCAATACTACTGTATTTCCAAACAAAATAAATAGATAAATAAGATATTAATAGAAAGAAGTTGTTCCCATTTGTAGAAACTATGGCAATCCTATATAGTCCTATTAAAAAAACTTTGAATTGTAGGTGCCATTTAACTTTACTAATTTCACTGCATGGTGTTTTATTTAGAACCTTTTGGTGCTCATTTCATATGGCACAATTTTTGTAGCATTTTAATATGATGAGAATCAAATTTCGGAGAATGAGAAACCAGAGCCCACCTTCAAAACAAGAATGTTCTATCATCTCCTTTCAAAGAGCTGCTATGAGTTCATGGTGATGAACCTTAGGTTCTACATTCTACAATCAGCAAGAAAGTTAGTCTTAATTTTTCAGTAAAATGAATCAATCTAGTTATAAGATGAGCTTTAAGGCTTTCCTGCTGAATTGG